AGTTGGGCTAGAGCAATATATATATATATTGCAATATATATATATATTGCACCCAGCACTGCACAACGCGATTTGGTGTCATCCTTTGCTCTAGCCCAACTTGGCCGGTTGAGACGAAGCCATTTTACTTTAATGCATATGGAATATTTGCTATTGGTTTGGTATTGAGACCATATTAAAATTTTAAGGGATGGGTTCGGCAACCGATTTTGACAGTACACCAGCGGCGCTTAGTGGACTGCATACCTGATCATTATTTTGTCGACAATTCCTTAAATGCAATAGTTGCATTTAAATACACTCTAAAACTGGCGATTCATCCAGCTCCCGAAAACTGCGCTACTGGAAACCGGACAAAGGTTTCCCAGCCTTGCTACGCCGCTCGCAAAGTCGACCTATCGTACCTTGTACTTTGTCAAGAGACACCCTACATAAACTCATGGCCATAGGGCATGGAAACACCATCGGCGCTTCCAACCTAGCGCTGAGAGGTCTAAAACACTATTTGTTGTAGACATCGCAGTTCAAAAGGTTTAAGAGATTTCATATTGATTTCGAGAATCCCTAGCAATTGAATTTCATTTCGTCGCAATATAAGGCTGCCACGTTTGTGTAGCGACTTCAAGTAAGCACGTTACCTGGCGTATGGCCGAAGAACCAGCGTGCGCTATTGCAACATTTCCATTACGAACTGATCACTGGACCTATACTCTACTATGATGTTCCGGTTGTCGCCATTAAATCTCGGCCGATGCAATCGCACGCAGGTCAATTCGACCAGCAAGATGCGTCCACGATATAATACAGCAGCTATCGCATTGCTTGTAGCATCTCTATGTTACGTAAATGCGGAGCGGAGCCTTCTCCAATCGTATCTCGAGTCGTTTCCACCATACGGTGAGTCGCAAAACATCTGTCCAGTCTATCCAGATCCAGCCACATCGACTGCCACCGCAAGATCTGCCCACCGTCACACCTTTCATATAATCCATGCACTTTATACATGCAAATTTCCTTCCAAACATCATTCGAACGTCCTGGCACACTACTTGCCCCTGCATGACACATCCAGTTCTTTCACGCGCTAGCTAATCCAGTTTGCAGGTTGATTAGGTCATCCCATTCGATCACCCCATTCACTGTCTTTTTGTTAATCTCTTCCGCAGGCTGCAACCGCGACCCGCAGCAGTCCCGCTTCCGCCTCGACCCAGTCTACACCGTCAGCGGCAACCGGGTGTGCATGACTGCCCGCGTCGTGGACTGCGCCAAGCCGGGCTCGGACTGCTGTGACCCCAAGATTGATTTTTACAAGATCGAGCTGGACGTGAACAAGCAGTGCAAAGGCGCCGTGACGGGGGTCACGGTCAACGGAAAACCGGCTCTGGCACCCACGTTCGACCCCTACGCCACCAACGATACCAAGGCAGTGATCAAGCTTACGGTGAGAGCTGCTGAAGGCGATTGCGCACAACAACGCGTCGCTTGTCGGGCCGACATCCTGACTTAGTAGCGTAGGGACTACTAATATTCGTCCCTTCCGTTGCTTCCCTCCCCAGGGCCCGAATCTTGACCTGACGACTGCGGACGGCGCTGTGGTGTGCATGACGCTGGGCGGCTCGTGTCCCTCCATGGAGACACTCTGTGCGGAGGGCAACGGCTTCTGCAAGTATGCCGTCGTGCAAAGTGGAACGTGCGACTGCTGCCCCGTGGGCAAGCTGGGCTTCTTTGCGCCGCCACCATCTCCTCTTCCGCCCAGCCCGCTGCCACCCAGCCCTTCACCACCCAGCCCTCTTCCTCGCCCGCCGTCACCACTGCCTCCATCCCCACTCCCACCCAGCCCCTCTCCACCCAGCCCTCTTCCTCCCAGCCCTCGCCCGCCGTCACCACTTCCGCCCAGCCCGCTGCCTCCATCTCCGCTTCCTCCCAGCCCCTCTCCACCCAGCCCTCTTCCTCCAAGCCCTCGCCCGCCGTCACCACTGCCGCCCAGCCCGCTGCCTCCATCTCCGCTTCCACCAAGCCCCTCTCCACCCAGCCCTCTTCCTCCCAGCCCTCGCCCGCCGTCACCACTGCCTCCATCCCCACTCCCACCCAGCCCCTCTGCACCCAGCCCTCTTCCGCCCAGCCCTCGCCCGCCGTCACCACTGCCTCCATCTCCGCTTCCTCCCAGCCCCTCTCCACCCAGCCCTCTTCCTCCCAGCCCTCGCCCGCCGTCACCACTGCCTCCATCCCCACTTCCACCCAGCCCCTCTCCACCCAGCCCCCTTCCTCCCAGCCCTCGCCCGCCGTCACCACTGCCGCCCAGCCCGCTGCCTCCATCCCCGCTTCCTCCCAGCCCGCTCCACCAAGCCCTCTCCCACCCAGCCCTCGCCCGCCGTCACCACGAGCCCGCTGCCTCCATCTCCGCTTCCACCAAGCCCCTCTCCACCCAGCCCTCTTCCTCCCAGCCCTCGCCCGCCGTCACCACTGCCTCCATCCCCACTGCCACCCAGCCCCTCTGCACCCAGCCCTCTTCCACCCAGCCCTCGCCCGCCGTCACCAATGCCTCCATCTCCGCTTCCTCCCAGCCCCTCTCCACCCAGCCCCCTTCCTCCCAGCCCTCGCCCGCCGTCACCAATGCCGCCCAGCCCACTGCCTCCATCCCCACTCCCACCCAGCCCTTCCTCCCACCCAGCGCCTCACCACTTCCGCCCAGCCCACTGCCTCCATCTCCGCTTCCTCCCAGCCCCTCTCCACCCAGCCCCCTTCCTCCCAGCCCTCGCCCCCCATCACCACTGCCACCCAGCCCGCTGCCCCCCTCGCCAATCCCCCCCAGCCCCTCGCCACCCAGCCCTCTGCCACCGTCACCACTTCCGCCCAGCCCACTGCCTCCATCCCCGCTTCCTCCCAGCCCCTCTCCACCCAGCCCCCTTCCTCCCAGCCCTCGCCCCCCATCACCACTGCCACCCAGCCCGCTGCCCCCCTCGCCAATCCCCCCCAGCCCCTCGCCACCCAGCCCTCTGCCACCGAGCCGTCCGCCTCCATTTGCTCCGCCATTCACACCAGTACGGATTAGGTCGCCGTTTCCGTTCTGCGAGTGAGTTAAGAGCGGTGGCGCTTGTGACTTTGTAGAGCGTGCTAAGCGTTTGGTCTGCGACTCTGCGTATGCGACTGTTTTTATTCCATTCACCCGTGCTTCTCTCCATTGCCCACGCAGTTGCAATCGCACCCTGCCTGGCCTGGTACCTTTCAACTTCGACAAGACACCGTCGCTCAGCCTGAATGGCGCCAACCGCCGGTACTGCCTGACACTCCGTACAGTGCCGTGCGCGGACCCTAGCAGCCCCTGTTGCGGCCAGGCGCTCTCCAAAGTGGAGTGGTGGTCCAGGGAGAGCTGTCGCGGGTCCGTACGGGCCGTGTACCTGGACGGGATCAAGATCGACTCGCAGTGGGGCGTCAATGGGACGTTCAAGATCCCCCAGCTGAACATGGCCCCCAGCTCGGTTCCCCTCCAGGGCCGGCAGGTGTGTCTGGAGCTCTTGTCGGCGTCCACATGCCCCACCCTGGCTACCTTCTGTGCCAAGGGAGGCCTGGGTGCCTGCACGTATTCCATGTTTTCGGAGGACAAGGATTGCTGCCCGATCGGCACATTCGTAACGCTTGGCAGGCGCAGATAGACGGAGAGTTACTCGGTTTACTTATTTCGCTGAATGTGTGTCTCGTGCTAGGGTCGGTGGGGAGCAAGGACTGCTGAAATATGCAGTTACTTGAAGTAGCTAGCAGTGCGACCCTCCATCCACCTCTGTCTAGCTGTATTCTTTTGATGCCGTGATCAGGGCGCAGGGGTTACGAATGCTGTGTATCAGGGGTACATAAGATTGTAGGCTAAATGAACTACGTCGGTGAACTCAACAGGGGCATTCAATGCCGTGGTGTTGTTCAAGTCATCATAACTATATAATAAAGTGTTAAGTACTGATGTTGAAATGTAGACAGGGCCTATTTGGGAGCCCAGACGGATACGGTTTCTAGTTCGGTAATTATTTTTGGGCGGGGCCCCAGCGCGAAGCGCCCAGGGGGGCCCCGACCTGTAGGATTGCCCATGTCCGTGTGTGTGTGTGTGTGTGTGTGTGTGTGTGTAACGGACCAAACATAATATCTCGCCTGGCTGAAACGCGTTATAGGTACTATACAGCATTCTCTATTGCAAGGTATCTCGCATGTAGCCAACAAAAATCGTATGAGCGCAAACAAGTTTGGCTGCCTCAATTGACCGAGGCCAAAGTCACATCAACGCCTCTCGCGCTAAATTTCATCGCAAAAGGTACCGCGTATCTCATATTTGAGTTCTTAGATGACGGCGTATGATAACTCGAACTCCCAGGCCTTGAGTGTGTAACGGACCAAACATAATATTTCACCCGGCTGAAACGCGTTATCGGTACTATACAGCATTCTCTATTGCAAGGTATCTCGCATGTAGCTAACAAAGACCGTATGAGCACAAACAAGTTTAGCTGCCTCCATTCACCGACCTCAAAAGTCACATCAACGCCTCTCGCGCTAAAATTCATCCCGAAAGCTGCCGCGTATCTCACAATGGAATTCTGAGATGAC